CCCAGTAGCCAAATAGATGCTTTCATACATAAAAATTCTGAAATCAGATTCTGATTAAGAGTGTTACCTTCAAGATCTAGTTAAACTTTCAGATAACGTGATGTTTCAGAACTGGAACTGCAAGATATGCTTGCTTTTGTAAATCATCTGAATACACTAGTATGAAAATTTGTTCTGTGACACATACCAGGCATCACAACACCGGGTTATAGTCCAACAGGTTTATTTGAAATTACAAGCTTCTGACTTTGTCCACCCCAGTCCAACACCGGCATCTCCATATCACACGTCTGGTGTAATTGACGTCAACAGTTTACTGCGTCAATACCCAGACAGCAAAAAGCATGTACTACAATCTAGAAACAAACTGGTTATTTACGTAAAAAATAACCGAGATGCATGCACTTCATAAACTTATGGTTTAAACTGACTTTAGGGATTGGTTCCTCTCAAACCAAACTAGAAAAGTTGCGTGAAGCCAGAATCCTAAGTTATTTTTAGGTGATCAGAGTGGTTGTTTGAATAATTCAAGTACGCTGGCTTTTCATCTCCAACATTACTGTTCAATATAAAACACACAAAGGATGGAAAGCTCCCTTCTAATCAAATTTAAGAATTTTATGTCAAATTAATTGAGCCACGCTTACAATCTTCCTGAGGGACATACGTCTCCACAGCACAAAAACATCTGCATTTCCAGTCTAATTGGCACTGAACTAATCGCAAACAGTCCCTAAAAAGGTGTCAATGTTAATAATGCAATGATTATACACATGCATAAATCAGCATTATTGATACTGATGTGATCGATCCAGTGGTAAAAAAATTGATTCAGTTCCTTAGTACAGACAAAATTGTTCATTGTGGATATATATCCATAGACATCCAATAGATCAACTAAAAGCTTACACTTCCAACTCAAATAGAATGTGACACTTTAACTATGTTCATAGTTGAGACAGATTATCTTAGGGTGATGATACTTGGATGGCATTTTATTTTCTGTACATTTTAATGAGAAATGAACATGCCTTGCAAGGCCAACGTTTATTGCCCATTTCTAACCACCCTTAAGCTGCCAGGTCATTTCAGAACACAGTTAAGAGGACAAATATAAAATAAGGATTACAATGAAATGATGGAATATCAACTGGTGTGCTGTGTAAACAGCCTAAACAGATTATTTTTGCAATGCTCAGTTTGAGACCTTCATTACAGTACACTACATGCCTCATTTTGGGTAATCTAGCAAATCTAGACTTAATGAAGAGAACCTTGAGAAATCAAGTGCTTCCTCAACCCCATTTGAGATAATCAAGTTTACAAAGGGTTACAACAGTACAGCACAGAAGAAGGCTATTTAACCCATCAGGCTTGTGCCAGATCAACCCAGTGTGTCCCACTCCTTCCCAAACCCCTGTAATTTTAAATATTCCTATCAAATCTCCTTTAGCCTTTTCTGCTCTGAGACCCACATAGTTGCTTCAATCTGCCCACATAACCGTAGGGCTGCATCTCTGCAACAATTCCAGTAAAACGCTTCAACTCCTACAAAGTCTTCACAACTTTCATAAAGCACGGTGCCCAGAAATGGACACAAATTCTATCTGGAACTAAATTAATATCTTCTACAAGTTCATTATAACGTTCTGGACTCTTTGTATTCTATTCCTCTATTTTAGAAAGTAGGGATTGTAAAGTGGAAGGCGGCATTTGGTATGCTTGCCTTTATTGGTCAGTGCATTGAGTATAGGAGTTAGGAGGTCATGTTGCGGCTGTACAGGACATGGGTTAAGCCATTTTTGGAGTATTGTGTGCAATTCTGCTCTTCCTGCTACAGGAAGGATGTTGTGAAACTGGAAAGTATTCAGAAGATTTATAAGGTTGCTACCAGGATCAGAGGATTTGAGAGGCTGAATAGGCTGGGGCTATTTACCCTGGAGCATCAGGGACAGGTTTATGAAATCATGAGGGGCATGGATAGGTAAATAGACAAGGTCTTTTTCCTGGTGGGGGGGGGGGGGGTCCAAAACTAGAGGGCACAGAACAGAAACAGAAGTTGCTGGAAAAGCTCAGCAGGTCTGGCAGCATCTGTGAAGAAGAAAACAAAAACCAGTTAACGTTTCGGGTTTGGTGACCTTGGTAACTCTGATTTTTTTTTTTCTTCACAGATGCTGCCAGACCTGCTGAGCTTTTCTAGCAACTTCTGGTTTTGTTCCTGATCTACAGCATCCGCATTTCTTTCAGTTTTTACTAGAGGGCACAGGTTTAAGGTGAGAGGGAAGGATTTAAAAGGGACCAAAGAGGCAATCTTCTCATGCAGAAGATGGTGTGTGTATGGAATGAGCTGCCAGTGCTGGAGGCTGGTAGAATTACAACATTTAAAATGCATCTGGATGAGTATATGATTCGGAAGGGCTTAGAGGGATATGGGGCAAATGGGACTAGATTTATCTAGGATATCTGGTCAGCATGGACGAGTTGGACCAAAGAGTCTGTTTCCATGTTGTACAGCTCCATGACTCTGTTCCATTAACCTGTTCTGCCACTTTCAAAGCTTTCTACACAAATACCCTCATGTCTCTCTCTTTTTGCACCCCATTAAAAAAAATATAACTTTTTTTTAAAAAATTGTTTGTAGGATGTGGGTGTAATTGGCCTGGTCAGCATTTACTGCCCAACTCTAACTGCCCATTACTAACAAGGCTATGTCACAGAATGTTAAGAATCAACCACATCAGTGTAGATATGGAGTCAAATGTAGGCCAGATCAGGTAATCATATGTCCTTGCCTGCAGGATATCAGTGAACCAGAGGGGCCTTTATGATGATCAATGGTTGCCATTTGACAAGCTTCCTTCAAGTAAATATTTTTATGGAATTTAAATTTCACCACCTGCCATGTTGAGTTTTGAACCGAAGTCCCAGGACATTAGGCACTCTAGATTACTAGTCTAGTGACATTACCTATGTGCCACAGCTTCCCACCTTGTACTTTTATTTCTCCTCATTCTTTCAATGAAAATGCACCAGCTCACACTTCCCTGCAATGGACATTAACTTATTCTGCCAGCTTGTCCACGTCCTCTTGAAGGCTTGCTGTTTACTTTGCTACTAAAGTTTTCTGTACAAACTTCAAAACTGTACATGGTACACACAAGTCCACATCATTAACTTATATCAAAAAAAGCGGTTCAGGTGCTGGACCCTGAGGAAGGTCGCTATATAAATTTTCCCCAGTCTGAATAACAGTCATTTGCCACAGCTCTTTTTCACTCCAATTTTTTAATCCATGCTGCTATTACCCCTTTTAGGGATGTCTCAACTCTTTTCTTTAAATAAAAAAAAAGACATTTAATAAGCAGTACTTTACAAAACATCTTTTAAAAGTCCATATGTACATCAACTTCATTGCCCTCACCAAGCCTCTCAGTTACTTGCTCTAAGATTTCAAGCAAATTGTTCAAACATGTCTTACCTTCAACATGTTTGTGCTAACGCCTTTGGTAGTACCATGATGAGTAAAACGTCAGTGAAAACTACCAGCTTCTTAGACCACAACCAAAGGTCACAAATTTAAGATAAAAAATACAGGGGAGAAAGAAACTACAGAGAAGTCAGAACGTAGAAAACTAACGCTGTTGAAGTAGAGCTCAAAATTCTTTCAAGCATTTATTTTGAAGAAAAGTTTGACTTGTGTCTAGTGAGTGAACAGAAAGGTGTGACAATACTAGGTGGCTAGAAGAGAAAGAGACACACTTGATGGGCTACATAACTTGTGTGGGTTATAGGCAAAGGTAGAATTGTGTTCTAATGTAATTCCTATCATTCATTGATCTGTCAACATTTACAGTTTATGTAACTCGTGAGCACACTGAAACTTCGAAGAGCATCAGATTCATGCTCTCTGTATCCTAGTATGTGCATTCCTTTTAGGAGTAGTTGGGGTAGAGACAATGAGGTAGGAGCAGACAATACCATGATTCCAAAAAATAAAAGGAATAGCTATGCTGGATTCTTTTGCATCAATTCTGACAGAAAATTTAAATTTCATGTTTTAGCAATAGCACATGCAATAAATGCAATTAGTTTCATGGCGAGACACCAAGCCATGTACAAGAATATTTGTATTGCTACTATTAATTGTACTGACTCAAGCAAAGTATCAGTTTCATGCAACATTTTAATATCATAATAGAAGTATACGTTTATTTATTACTTACCTCCTATCCACCTAGGTTAATTCTTACACTAGCCCCGAGGAGTAACCTACAGCAGGACCCGATCCCTAGATACATAGGTTTTATGTGAAAGATTATTTTTGAAATGTCTTAAGCTGCATCCAGCTTTATTCAAAAAAGGACACGAAAGACATTAAGCTTGTCCTTCCAAATAAGGCACAAAATTCAGTTCAAATGGCTTCACGGAAGATGCAGTCATAAGTTCAAATAGATTTCATGGCAATAATCACAAGCCCCATAGAGGTGACACTGCAGTTGATTACATACAATTATCCCACATGATTCAGTCTGCCCAGACTGATAGGATCGAAAATTTCTCTTTTGCCTCTTTCAAGGGCCACATGAAATAATTTTAGGCAAAGTGCAACTCTTCAACAGGTCTGAACTTCGCGATCCCAGCACAAAAATGCTTGGCCAACCTGAATCTTATTTGAAAGATTACACTGATGCCGGATGTAGGATATGGAGCTATTAATAGTGTAATAGAGAGTTTTTGATATAGATATTAAGGCATATTACTGGGTTCAGCAAAGGAATCCTTGCTTTCCAGCTAACTGCATTATTCTTTATCTAGGACTGCATCGTGTAGACTCAAAATATGTGAAATAGCAATGCATCTCATTTTGTAGGAACAACTTCTTTTATCTGACTAAAAAAAGAATGAACATTAATCCAAAAGTAAAACCTCAGTTTGAGGAGAATTCTGGCTACAGGCATCAGATACTATTAAGTCTACTTTTAATAGCACTAGATACTCACTTTATGGATCCAACGGTTACAGATCTAGCTGGTCTTCTACTCTTCAATACCCGAAGTTTATCCCCTTGGGTAAGTTCATTTTTATTAGTGCAGTGATCATCATTATCATTGTACTGTGAAGAAAATAATAAATAAAAATCAGAATAATTAACATTTTCCAAAATAAAGTAAATCAACATCACACCAATTACACATATGAAAGACCTGAAGATCACAACACGACCAAGAGAACAAGTTTCATATTGTCCTGTTTATGTAGTGAACAAATACTGTAAACTAATTGCTTTCTATTATTTTGCCATCTTCAAATCCATTGTTTAAATTATAGACTGGATAACAGGGACATTTGAAGTTAGCTATAACCAAAGCTGCTTTATTTCTGGTACGGAAAACATGAAGTGCTAGTCTTCATAGCTCCCTTACCTAAATGTCTTCAATGTCTCCACAACAAAAGACGCAGATGCTAGAAATCTTAAATAAACAAAGAAAATGTTTGAAATAAATCAGGTGTGACAACGTCTGTGAAGAGGGCAGCAGGATTCAAATTTCAGATAATTGGAAATTTAGCTGAAATGCATTTATCACTCCACAGATACTGCATACCTGCTGAGCATTTCCAGCATTGTGCGCTTTTACCTCATTACTGACATTCTGGGGGTTAACATTTACCAGAAATAGAACTGGGCCAGCCATATAAATACTGTGCTACAAGAACAAGTGGATGAAAGTCTTTGCCTATGTGGAGACAGCAGAGGAGCCACTGATAGGGCCAAGGAACCTGCGAGAGGAGTCATGCCCATTGTCCCTTTGTTAGACACTGCTTTGTGCAGCAAGGGCTGTCTTTCCAATTAGTATGGCTTGGGCCTCCCTCTGCTGTAGGCTAAAATAGCAGTGTAGATTAGAGTGAGGCCTTACAGATCTCAAAAGGCCAAGGGTGGGCAGGCTGCCTGACAACTCCACCAAAGGGAGCAGATAGGTGACAGGCAGTCCACTGATGGTGCTGGTGGTTGTGGGGAGGACTGAAGTGTAAAATCTAGCAATGATGCTGAAATAATCACAAAGTGACTAAAAGATTAATGCATTGTGGCATCATACATCAATATTGAATAATAACACCATTACACTTAAATTAGGTAATAAAACAAGAGACTGATTCAAAATGGATAATTCTCATCTGAAATGAAGACTTAAATTTCAGCTTTGAGTAATCCTGAAGTACATGCATATAGTGCAAGCTTCATTATACGAAGTTACATTCAATGTCTGCCAAAAAAGAAACTGGCATCTTTTAAATATTTAACAGAGAGAAAAAAAAATCCAGAAAACAGAGCTCTCAAAAGATTCAGTTGAAAAGAACCATTCAACCTAGGTTGATTCATCCATTAGAAAGATTCAAGTGCATGACTACTGCATATAAATGCTTCTGGAAACTATTCCCTACGACTTCACTTTATTGAAGAAATGGTCTCCGGCTGAAACACAAGTGTACAATGCGGCAGACACAAATTTCTGCTTAATTGTTCAATCAATAACAAAAGAAATGAAGATAAAAATCAAATAATCCAAAGTATCTACTTATAATACATATTAAACATTATTAAACACAAAAATTATAGCTTTTTTTAAAATAACGAGACCAAACTGCCTGCAGTAATGATCCCTACGACATCCTGCAACTCAAAAATGGATGTGTTTATGTCTACTGCTACTTCACCAATGCTGTATCCATTATGATATGTTACCCCTAGAGATCACTGAGTACCACTGTATCATTCAGGACATAACAACTTGTATGTATACTAGCTGCTTTTGAAGAATAAAAAAAATCCATCCATGTGATGATTACTGATTGTACAAAGACTTCCCCATATCTGCCTCAAGTTTGATTTTGATTATTTTCAGTCATTTGCCCATTATTCAAGTAATTTTTTGCTTTCCTCAAGTTCAGACCTTTGTTACAAATGTGCTTCAATACCCCCTTGCACCTTGGTGACCAAATCCAGACACTGTATTCAACATGTATTCTCACTAAATAACTAAGTAATTTGACCATAACAAGACCAGGTTCTAACCCCAGCAATCTACTTTATCTCAAACTGACCTTCCAGGCTCTTTCAGTCTTTCTACCACAATGATTGCCTAAATAAACATCAGTAATGTTGTCTGCCTTCATCTCTACTTCAGTCTATGTGGTGGCAACATTCTCAGCCATGCTTATCACAGAAACTTGGCAATTCCAATGTCAGCCTGACCAGCTTCCAATCCTTCACCTGTAAACCTCTGCTCAGCTATCCTGTCTTGTTCACCTATCACTCAGTCCTTGCTAAGTTACACATTGTCTCCCATAACCCAAATTTAATGTTTTCATTCTGGTATTCAGATTCATTCACTTCCTCCAACAGTTTTCATGATGTGGAGTTGTCAGTTTTGGACTGGGATGGACAAAAGTCAGAAATCACATGACACCAGGTTATAGTCCAACAGTTTTATTTGAAATCACAAGCTTTTGGAGTGCTGCTCTTTCACCTGATGAACATCCAATGGTTTTACCCATCTCTAACCTTCTCCAATTGTGCAACACATCCTTACTCTCCAGAACTCCCTACTACTCAGACTTGGCATCAAAAACCCCTAGACCCCTGTTAAATCCCTCCTTAAAACCTACACCTATGATCAAGCTCTGATGAAGGGTCACCGGACCCGAAACGTTAACTCTGTTTTCTCCTTCACAAATGCTGCCAGACCTGCTGAGCTTTTCCAGCAACTTTGTTTTTGTTCCCGATTTACAGCATCCGCAGTTCTTTTGGTTTTTAAACCTATGATCAAGCGTTTGGTTTCCCCTTTCTAATAGTGGCTTTTGGCTCAGCATTCATGTTTTTGTAATTGTGTTTCTGAAACACCTTGGGATATTTTTCTATATTATGGGCAGAACATAAATGTTGTGTGTTTTGGAAATATATTCAAACCATTTGATTTTACCAATTCCAGTTCAGTACTAAATGGGCATTTAAAGGATCACCAAAGACCATCATAAAATTTATTTCCTATTTTCCTGGTATCTAATGGAGACACATTGTTTTTTCTATTTCAAATGTTTCCCAATGGGGGATATATTTTACTCTTCACGAACCTATCCAAAACAGAGGGACTGACTGTGGAGCAGAAACCCACTTGTTCAGTCAACAGGGTTTACTGTGGCTCTGGAATTCAGTCACAGCACAGTCAACTCATTTCTGCGTATCGTGATCAGAAGCTGGGCAGGGTGATGCCTAAAACTTGGCAAAAGAGAAACGTCAACAAGATCAGAATGACTGAACCATACATAAATTGCAATGGTTTCAGCAACCACAGCAATGGAGTAAACACTTGGGAAAACTATCTCAGAACCTTCCTTCTGAAGTCTTATTGCAGAATCCATGGTACTGAGTGAGGCAATATTTGACAAGGTTGGGAGGAAGGGGCTAGCCTGTCAACCAAGCTGACGTGAACGCAAGTGATTGATCAAGTGAGCTACACCAGTGTGGTTCCTCAAACCTGGATAGATCCCCAAGATAGTCATAAACCTCCGGAGTGTGGCAAAAGGGGAGTGGCATTTCATTTGCCAAAGCCGACCTCCTCACCTTGATTTCTCATCATTTTCCTGCACAATACAACTCAGACCAACACAACTTCACTCATTCCTTGTTCTCCAAAAATTCACCAAGGCTCCTTAGACAGCACTTTCCAAACTCATGACCACTACCATCTAGAAGGACAGGGGCAGCAGATACATGGAAATACCATCAGCTGCAAGTTCCCTTTAAGTCACTCACTCTCCAGACTTGAAAATATCATCTTTCCTGCAATATTGCTGGGTCAAAATCCTGGAACACTCTCCCTATTGTAGATGCAACTACACCAAACGGTCTACGTTGCTCGAGGTGGTGATTCACCTCTACATTTCTCAAGTGCGATTGGGGATGCATAACAAATGCTGGTCTAGCTAGCAAAACCCAAATCCCATGAATTAGTAAAGACAATCTCTAAAATCCATCTCAACTTCCAACACTGGCACTTTGTTTCATCTGAGCCCCCTTGAGTCCAACATTCTCCATTAATGTTTTCCTTTCTTCCCCTCCTCACATCAATGTCCCTCACCCATAACTTTGTTTCTATCACTATAGAACCAACCTCAGAGCCCCAAGGAGGGGCACAGAACAAGTCGATTGAGAGGAACTGCGAGGCTAGCCTTCCAGTAACATTCTTCTTAACTACTGCCATCATGTGTCCAATGTAAAGAAGGTCACTGCTGGAGACTGCAAATGTCAATATCAGACTACTGTAAAGCCCTGAGCTTTATCATGCACTGGTATACACATTTTTCAAGACCGTTTGTAGGTCTCATGTGGATTTTTCTCTCTTTCAAGTTGGATCAGTGTCCAATTTCTGCACCCTGTTGGGCAGCATGTGTCAGAGAAGGTTGCTGGTGCTGCTCACGCTGGAGTTGTGGCTGCCTTTTTGTTCCTCATAGTTAGGAAAAAGTTGTTAAATAATATTGTTGATTTCTTAAACACGCTTTTTAAGCTAAATGGTTATATAGTATTAGCCTTTAATAAACATTTCTATGAAATGCAGTAAAGCTGTAAAATTTGATTAATGCTATCCAATAACGGCAGCAGGAAATACCAAAATTTCACTTACCATGTGACATTCTTGTTGATCAATTGTCATGTTTTGATTATCATTAATAGAAATATCATCAACCCCAGAAAGGATCCGGGTAACGCCGACCTTGTCCTTTCCATTTTGCTGATCTTTTAATTTTGCATGGTAAAGGTCACCTTCGGCCCATAGACTGGCTTGTTTCCTGCCAAACATAATATTAAAAAGAGGTTAAAAGAACAGAAAGTATGTAGGGACAACCATCTCTCGAATGAACATGGGCAACGTGTGGGTAACGCGAGGAAATGGAAACCCTGACATCGACAAAGATGGTGCGTTGCTAACATCTCAATATTTCTATTTCCCATTGAGGATGTCACTGAGTGCTAAGTGAAGAACCATTTGTTCCATGGGGACGTGAAGCCAGGGAGTCTGTTCACAACAGCGCAAGAATTAGGAGCAGGAGTTGGCCTTCGATAAAATCATGGCTGATCTGATCATTGTCTCAAGTCCATTTTCCTTCCCCTGCTTCCCAAAAACCTTGACTCCCGTATTGATGGGAAATCTCTCTAACTTGGAATAGGTTCATCGATTCAAGCTCCACTTGTCTCCAAGGAAGAGAACTCACAGGTTAACCATCCTCTGAGAGGTTCTCGTCTCAGCCTCATTAACGATCTGGATGAAGGAACTGAGGACATTGTTGCTGAATTTGCAGATGACATAAAGCTAGGTGGAGGGGCAGGTAGTGTTGAGGAAGCGGGGAGGATGCAGAAGGACTTGGTCAGGCTATGAGAGTGGGCGAAGAAGTGGCAAATGGAATAGAGTATGGGGAAGTGAGGTTATGCACTTCAGATGAAAGAATAGAGGTGTACATAATATTTCTGCTACCCAGGTGGATAGAGTTGTTAAGGCGGCGTATGAAGTGTTAGCTTTCATTAACAGAGGGATGGAGTTCAAGAGCTGTGAAGTTATGCTGCAGCTATACAAAAGCCTGGTTCGGCTACATCTGGAGTATTGTGTCCAGTTCTGGTCGCCTCATTACAGGAAAGATGTGGAAGTGTTGGAAAAGGTGCAGAGGAGATTTACCAGGATGTTGCATGGAATGAAGGGAAGGTCTTATGAGGAAAGGTTGAGAGAGCTAGGGCTTTTCTCTTTACAATGACGAAGGATGAGAGGTGACTTGATAGAGGTGTACAAAATGATCAGAGGTATAGATAGTGTGGACAGCCAGAAACTTTTTCCTAGGGTGGAGGTAGCTACTACGAGGGGACATAGTTTTAAAGTGAAAGGAGGTAGATATAGTGGAGACGTCAGAGGTAGGTTCTTTACTCAGAGTGATAGGGGCGTGGAATGCATTGCCAGAGAGGGTGGTGGAGTCGGCCTCATTAGGGGCATTTAAGCGGCTATTAGATAGGCATATGGATGGTAGTATAAAGGTAGGGGTGGAGGTTAGATAGACCTTAGGTTTAGGGTAAAAGTTCGGCACAACATCGTGGGCCGAAGGGCCTGTACTGTGCTGTACTGTTCCACGTTCTTTGTTCTATATTAAGAAGCACTCATCCTTGTTTCTATATGGGACTGTCCAGTACATTTGTCATTCTTCTGTGGCCAAAAGTTAAACCTACAAACTCTCTGCTCAGTGACTCCGGACCTGACCACACTTTTGTTTACTGTGCTGTGAATTCATTTGCATTAGCTTTTAATGCCAATATTTTGCATTAACTAATTCAACTTAATTTCTGACTTGCTATGTATCTCTTCTTGCTTGCAAGTCCAAACAGATGTTAGACTGCCTTGATCACACCACCTTCTCCAATTTAGAAATAAAAAGCTTTTGCGCATAGTCACAAACTGTGTAACACTAATCAACCATTTAAGGTAATTACTTCTTTACTGAACTACAAAACCTAACATCTATACGAGCAATTGGATCTGGTCTTCATTTTCTCCCAAGCATTTTTCCTGCTCCCCATTTTTACTTAAGTTTTCTATCTGATCCAACATATTCTTACTTAACACTTAAACATTTGCTGCACTTGTCATATTTTCTTTAGGATTTTTTTGTCTTGTTGAAATAGATAGGGTGCTGGGGGAATGTGAGGAATAAATTTTTAAATAAATATGTGACCACAGCTAGTCAAAACATCGCATGCCATTGATTACAGCTGGCTTGCAATGCAGTGTGATGCCAGAGTGGGTTCAATTCTATACTGGCTGATGTCACCACAAAAGCCCCTTCACCTCCACCTCAACCCTCACATATCCCTCAGATTAAAAAAAGTGACCACTGGTCATTGCTCTCTTTTAAGGAGAGCAGCCTATGACGACTTCTATTCTTAACCCCCAAAAAATTGGTGATATTTAGTTACTACTTAGGGCTTCAAGTAAAACATTAAGGTTATAGAAAATTAAATGCTGAATAAAATAATTCTACTTGCTTGATATAAACTTTAAGAACTTCTTTCAATCATTCTACACTCATCTATCAAAAAAGTCTGCTTGATGTAGCAAACACAATGGGTACAAAAAGTTAAGATTACAAACGTTTATGCTCTTATAATATTAACGTGCCTCAAATGAACTTAAAAGAGCAAAAAGCGTTTCCCTAACTTCTGCATGTCTGCCTTTTTCAATGTTATTACTTCTTGTTTTTGAAGGTAGTGAACTCGGATTGGAGAAAACACCACAGGTGATTTACCCAAGCTCAGATTTTAACATGTGAATCTAGAAAGCGAGCATCAACAGGCTTGTGAATCAAGGGGGGCACTGATGCCAATTTCAATCCTGTTTCACATCCATCCTCATATTTGTATTTCTTGCAATGGGTGGTTCATCCATCATGACTAAGAATCATAATGATTGGTCTTCTCTTCATTCTTTGAGTAAGAGGTCAACTGTAGTATTTCAATATTGCACAAAGATTATGCATCAAACAGAGATCTTCGAACTCTACACAATTTAGTCTAAAGCTATATTTTACACAACTCTTTGGACATCCCATGTCAGATATGCTCTCAAATCTCTGCCACTACCAGAAGGTATCTTACTGTTTGTAGGAATAGATTTAATGACTTATGAACTTCTCTTCAATTTACCCTTCCTCTACTTACCTTGCTCAAAAATACACCATCATTGGCTTGTGTACTTTGTATTCCAGCTTCAAATGCATTTACTCTTAGAACTCCAACATGTTCCTTATGAAAAGTTATCAAAGACTGTGCACCAATTTATTTTTCCTGCCATAAGGTAGGATATCCTTCTAATCATATATCGGGTATCAGCAAATACTTTCGTTAAACTGTGCTTAAAGTCCCTTCATAACATATTAATTAAGAACAGCAAGGTACTTACTCTTCTAAAAAGTGCTGTTGAGGTCCTATAACCGATCCTGGTCTACAAATTCTAATCCAAGCAATGGCTTCTGCAGCCGTTAGTTTGTAGTGTTTCATGATATAACATGCTATAAGAGTACCAGTTCGGCCTAAGCCAGCTATAATATTAAAACAAACAAACGAACAAACGTCATTCCCCTCATATCAGAAAGCTTTAAATTGAAGCATACAGAACTATTAAAGGAAATGCATTGTTGAATTATGCATTCTATTTGTTTCTCAAATGAAATTAATGTGTCTTCATTAAAAAAAAACAGGATCAAGTTTATGCTTTTGTCCACCTACCCCCTCCCAACCTAGCTATAATCTAATATATTGAACTTAAAGATGGCAACCTGCTATTTATTCCTGGTTTAAAATTTCAAGCAATGAATTTCCAAGAGAATATAAATCTCTGTTTGTCTAGAAGTTACAAAAGGAAATCATGATTCATCGCCATTAATTTCTAGAAAACAAAGACAGGCTTAGGCTGGCCCAATTACTTCAGATGCTGACAAGCCAAAAAACTGTGTTTTGCAATTTATTTTTTTGAAACACATACAACACGTTCAAATTTTCTTTTTTAGTTCCATCGCTCAGATGACACAGGCATTGTTAATATCATTATCGCAAATGAAAGTTAGCAAAAATACCTTTACAGTGCACGGCAACGACCCCCTCTGCATTTTCGCAGATATTCAAGAACTTCTTGACTATTGTATCACTAGGTGTACTTCCATCCACAAAGAAGAGATCATAATGCTCAAAACGAGCATCTGTGAATCGCTTGGCATCATACATTTTCTTGTTTAAACGGATAATAGTGGTGATGTTGTGCTTTCGGAAGTACTGAAAATAGGCCTCGGGTGCATGCAGAGGATAACCTAATCCAACAAAGAGAAAGAAGATATATGCTTGAATTCATTTCCAACATTTAGCAGTTTTACACTCAAACAAAAAAAACTTAAACCTGCTGGTTTCAGCAAGTTTTGATTTGAATCCTGGAACATCAACTTCACATTACTCTTTCCACATGCTGTCTGAATTAGTGTGTTGCCATCATTACTAACTTGTTTCTTTCCATTTACAAACAGTAATGCTTAGAGTTTCATGTTGAAGAGTTAAAAGTGTGTAAAAGAACAAACTGGGGTCTCATTTGGAAAACAAATACATGAAATATTATACACACATACAAGGAGTAATATACATTATTGACACCACAGAAAACCATAGCTAGCATTAATGGTTTACTATTCTTAAAAACAATTTTAAAATGCAAAATAGGTTATGCAATCTTAACATAATTAAAACTGGTTAGACAGACAAAACATAATGGATATTGAAGGCTAATATTCAGAGGTTTCTCATTCCAACCAGTCATTATTCGTCTCCAGCTTTGCAGAATCATGTATTTTCCAATCAAGCACGCCATGAATGAGCACCGAGTGCTAAAGAGTGCTGATGCACCAACTTATCTTCAAGTTTTCTTCAAGGCACAGAGATCAAGGCAAGATCAAAAATGAATGAAGCAATTCAAAAATCTAAATCTGTTCAATTTTAAAGGTTCTATATAAATGGCATTTTACAAATGACAGTGAAAAATAATGATCCCAGCTGACGTTATCGGGCAAGTCAGAATCCAGACAGGAAATGGCTTGAAACATCATGTGTTTATTTTAATTGAAGAAGTGATCCCTCGCTGAAACATAAGCACACAATGCTGCAGACATTGATTTAACAATTAAGCAGAAATTTATTGCAAAGAAAAATCAAATAATCTAAACTATCTACTTATAATACAAATTGAACATTATTTAACGCACAAAAAAGTCCTTTTCTAAATAAAGAGACTAAAACTGCCTACAGTACTGATTCCTGTGATATCTTGCCAACCTGAAAATGGAGCCATTTATGTGTACTCTGTTTGCTGCTACTTCACCAATGCTCTATCCATTCTATTACCCATAGAAATCATTGAAGAGTGTTCAGGACAGGGAAAACCTAGCTAATTTATTAGTCATTATGAATATTAAGTTGTGTGCTAATTGATTAAATGGAATTGCTGTCTTCTGAAAAGATTAGATTAAAAAGGGAAGGCACAAGGTGATTGGAATGGACACAGCAGCTGAGGTATGTGCTGGTAAGCAAAGTGACTACAAGATCAGGTGATAGAAATGATTCAATGGAAATACCATGAAATAAGATTCTGAAGAGGAGTCACTGGGCCCAAAATGTTAACTCTGATTATTCTCCACACATTCCTTGTACGTCTGTCTGTTTCATACATTTGTTTTCCAAATGGAACCCCAGTTTACGTTCTTTTCCACAGATGCTGCTAGACCTGCTGAGTTTTTTTCCAGCAATTTCCAGCATCTGCAGTTCTTTCGAATTTTTGTTCAGAACTACAGGCATCAATATAACTTGACGACTTTTATTACCTATTAGAATTTGGGGAGGAGAAGGAGAAAAAAAGGGATTCCACCCTGACTAAGGCAGATAACAAAGAATCAAATGTACGTCATTAAACTCATTCACATGACCGAGTACAAACCTAACAATTCAGTACCTACCATTTTCTATTTTGCTCTTTGGATGTGGACCGCTAAAGGCTAAAAACTTGCTGGGGATTATCCAGTTAAAATCTCCATTCTCTGCCCTCTGCAAACAAAAATAAAAGCGATTGTTTATTCTTAAGAGTCTCTTGGTCTTGAAGACCATCAATGCTCTCAGAAAATTAGTTTTGAAAATGCAGTCTTCTCGTTAATCAAAAAAAAACACTAACCTCATAATGTTCGTATTCATCCACATCAAATGTATTAAAATTGAAGAAGTTATACTGCAGAGCCTACAAAGAGGTTAAGAATTATGTTTATCAATTGACAAAAATATAAAGAAAACAGTCAATGGAGGTTAATCTGAAACATCCTTCGAGTAAAATCATTACTACAAGTTAAAAAGAGATACATGCATAAATGGACAAAATGGAAGTTCAGGACTGATGGCAGAAAGTACTTCATACAGAGTTGCTAACACAAGAAATAGACTTCTAGGTAGAATAGTAGAGGCAAATCTTTGGAATCATTCAAAAGTCTCAGACACTGAAATGGAGGAAGAGGACGACAGGAAAGGTTTGTGTGCAAGGATGAATTGTGTGCAAAATTTGCCATTATACAAGCGTACAAACCGATATTAACAACTGCATTATTAAGCCACATTTAGCAAATCACTGAAAATACAACACCAAGAAATGCTAATTGATACTGTATTTATCGCTTTACCTTACTAACTGCATGTAAACAGTCCAGAACTGTTAAGTTATATGTACATGTGCCAAATGAAGCATCCCTGCAATAAGAAAAGTTTGATATTTGTCAAACACAAAACCCAAATACACAAGACAGAAGATGTAAAAGTAGTAATAGATCATTGGCATTTGGGCCTTCTTGGTCATTCAATGTGATAATGACTCATTCTTAGTCTCAACTCACTTTTCAAATCCTCCTCATATCCCTCAATTCCCTGTCTAAAATGCCTTAAACATTGTAAAGGCCATGTGCTTTTTTTTTTAAATTTTTGATTGACGAACAAAATGGGAAAAGGACTGCTTAAAAATCCAATGACTGTGGAGGGGATTGCTGAACTTTTTAAAAACAGGCTACCAGTCCTTATTGTAAGTGCTGTTTAAACAGTTACTTATGTAACCAAAAGAGGCAGGTTACTGTAGACAAGCTGGAGCCAATGGGTGTATATGTAGGGAGATTTGGTTGGCAACAAGTAGCTAATCAGTCTGTGGAATGGTGACCAATGACAAAGGCCATTTGCCTGCCAACAACTTTGCAGTTGCCTTCCAGCTAGCTGTACAGCCTGTGGGTAAGAACACGGTGGTCAGAAGCCTCTAGACCTCCAGAAGGGAGGTGGTGTTCTCATCTTTGCAGTAAATAATACCTAAAACCAGAAGAAAGCCATTTTACTTTCCCTGACCAATTGCTGTAAACTGCTGCTTTTAGCCAATAAGTCAGAGACATTGTAAATTGAGAATCAGTCACAATCAATTGTAAATTGAGCCTTCCGAGAGTGAAAAGTGCCTGGAGATTGGAGATTAAGGAACAGCAGGTCCTAATAAGTCAAAAGGTTCATCCCAGCAAACCCTACAGTCAGCAACTATTGAACTGACTTCCTCTGCCCATAACAGCAACTTTGTGTACACGCATACGTGCGTGCACACGTGGGGTTTTATAATTGAGTTTAGTGTTTTAACCTATAGAATTCTGCGTCAACAATTCATGCTTGGTCATCTGTAGTTAGAATCTATTTAGTATCTATTTGTAATAAATAGTAATTTGTGTTAAGTACGGAAACCTGGTCTGTGCTTTGTTAACCAGGGTCCAAAAAGACAAATAAATCTGCACAGTATTCCAGGTGTGGCACTGTCAAAGCACTGTACAAATGTGACAAAAATCTCATGCTGCAATCTTTTTGCCATAACTACATACTAACATCCTGCACTCTAACCCCACTTACAATCTTTAAACATCACCTGAAAAGGATGTATTTTAGAGTGGAGCGGAGGAAAAATACTTATGCCCAACCCAAAAGGGTGGTAGGCCTGGAATGCATTGCCTGGGAAGGTGGTAGAGTCAGGTAACCTTAACTTTTCAAAAAAAAAAAGAAAAAAAAAAAAACACAACTTGGATGAGCACTTGAAATGTCAAAACCGTCGAGGTTATGGGTCAGGTACTTCAGTGTCACAGTACTGTAGGTTTAGCATGGTTTTGGCAGTACAGACTCAAATGGGCCAAAGGACCTCTTCTGTACTCTATGAGTCTATACAACTAAGTTTCTCTAAACATACCTCCCCACACTAGACTCCATCTATTGACCTCTTGAGCATGCACTTCACCTGTTAAGTATCTGGCATGGTGTTATTATTGTTGTAGCCCAGTGACCAAAATAATGCTTTAGAAACCAGATTTAAAAGGTGGATTTTTTTTAAGATATAAAAATTCTGGAACTTAAAGTCTAATCATCATGAAACTATTGTCATAGAAACCATCAGGTTCATTGATGTCCTTTAGGGAAGGATATCTGCCATCGTGACTTGGTCTGGCCTACTTGCAAAACCAGACCCAATGTGATTGGCTTTAAACATAAAAGAGAGAGGGCAGTTAATTGTTTTATCAACTGGTACAAAGGTCTCAAAAAAGAAGAAAAAAGGGATGAAACCGGATAGATCACCTGGTACTGATGGAGGGACCAGAAATGACAATGACAAAGACAAACACAGCAGCCAGCAAAACAGAAATTGCTCGAAAAGCTCAGCAGGTCTGGCAGCATCAGTGAAGGATTTGATGATAAACACAGACCTGTCAATGCTGCAAAGTTCTCCTAACATGAGGGTTAATGCCAAAAATTGGGAGAGCTGTTGCGCAGATGAGTTAAGCAACAGTCTGATATCACCCTATTGCGGAATCATACTTAGGGATACCATGTTCCAGGCACGACCAGCACCATAAAAACAGAATAAAACTGCTGGAGAAACTCATCAGGTCCAGCATCGTCTGTGGAGAAAGAAACAGTTAACATTTAGAGTCCAGTATGACTCTTCTTTCGAACTGGCAGGACAGAGCCAGCTGAGGTGACGACACAATGGTATATACAGCAGGGAGGTTTGCCCTGCGAGTCCTCAACATTGGGTTTAAGAGTCAATGAAGTCTCATGGCATCAAATCCAATGTAGGCAAGGAAACCCCCTGCTGATTACCACCTACCACACCCCAGTGAGCCAATGACTCAGTACTCCTCCACGTTCAACGCCTTTGGAGGATGAACTGAGGGTGGCAAGGGCATGTAATGTATTCAGGCTCAGTGTGACTTTAATGTCCTTCAACAAAAGTGGCTCAAGCACCACTACTGAGCAAGGTGGTCAGATCCTAAAAGAGCATAGCTGCTAGACTAGGCTTGTGGCAGATGGTGAGGGAGTGAATAAGAGGGAAAAACAAACATCCTCATTAACTTGCTTGACACGATACATCTGTCCATGACAGTATCTTGACAGAGTGACTACTCTATAGCCCTTGGGGAAATGATGTCCCATCTTTGCATTGGACTCCCCACCCTAGCATTACCCTCTCTCATGTTGTGTGACACTACCACCATGGCCCATTACCAGCAGCAGAATACTTCGAGACACTCAAACTTCTTTGTTGCCATCAAGCCAGAAGTATCAACCCTGGCTCAATGAAGAGCACAGGATGAAATGCCAGGAAGCAGCATACCTAAAAATAAGGCATCAAAATTGTGATGCTACAAAACAGCTCTACATGTATACCAAACAAACACAGGCAAGTGACAGACCTAAGCAATTTCATAACCAACAGGTCTCAGATCTTAGCACTGTAGTCCTGTCACATCAAGTTTTGAATAGTAGTTGTCAGTTAAATAACTCACTGAAGGTGGCAGCTCCACAAATATCTCCATCTGTAATGGTGAGGGAGCCTAACACACTGTAAAAGATAAGACTGAAGCATATGCAACAGTCTTCAGCCAGAATAGCTGAGTGAATGATCCATCTGAACCCCCTCTAGGAGGTCCCCAACATCATAGATGCCATTCTTTACCATTTCAATTCAGGCCATGATTCTGTAGGAAGGATGTTATTAAACTTGAAATGATCTACAAGGACATTGCCAGGATTGGCGGATTTGAGCTATAGGTAGAGGCTGAACAGGGTGGGCCTATTTTCCCTGGAGCGTCGGAGGCTGAGAGGTGACCTTATAGAGGTTTATAAAATTATGAAAGGCATGGATAGGGCAAGTAGCCAAGGTCATTTTCCTGTGGTGGGGAGTCCAAAACTAGAGAGCATAGGTTTAAGGTGAGAGGTAAAAGTTTTAAAAAGAGCCTGAGGGATAACTTTTTCACACAGCAGGTGGTGCATATATGGAACAAGCTGTCAGAGGTAGTAGTGGAGGCAGGTACAATTACAACATTTAAAAAGCATCTGCATGGGTGTACGGATCATAAGGGTTGAGGGATAAATCGGCCAAATGCTGGTAAATGGGACTAGGTCAGGTTGGGACGTCTGGTCAGCATGGATCAGTTGGACTGAAGGTTCTGTTTCTGTGCTGTATGACTCCAAGATTTACATCAAGAAATAGTTGGATATTGAAAGATTATGGGACCTGACAATATTTTGGCAATAGTCCTGAAGGCATGTGCACCAAAACTTGAGCCCTTTACCAAACAGTACTAATCCAGCTTTAACATTGGCATCTACCCCACCGTGTAAAATGCACAGGTGTGTTCCTTAAACCAAAAGCAGGGTAAATCCAACAGGCCAATCAATGCCTCATCAGTCTACTTTTGATCATCAGTAATGGAAGATATTATCAACAGTGCTATTAAGCAGTCCCCACTTAGCAACAACCTGCTCACTACCATTCAATTGATGTTCCACTACAGCACTCCCCCAGATTCATTATAACCTTGGTGCAAACATGGGCAAAACAGTTGGATTCCAGAGGTGAGATCAGAGTAACTGCTATTGACATTAAGGTTGCATGACAGACTGTGGCATCAAGGACCCAAGTAAAACCAGTCAATGGGAACCAGGTGAAAAACCCACCACTGGTTGAAGCCATATCTGGCATAAAGGAAGATGACTGTTTTGTTGGCGTTCAGTCATCTCAGTTCCAGGACATCTCTGCTGGAATGGCTCAACCATCTTCGGCTGCTTCAATGACTTTCTCTCTATGATAAGGTCAGAAGTTGGGATGTTTCATGACGACTGGCCATGTTTAGCACCATGCCAGATCAGTGGCTTAGTGGGTAGCCCTGCTGCCTCACAGCACCAGGGACCCAGGTTCAATTCCAGCTTTGGGTGACTGTGTGGAGCTTGTACATTCTCCCCACGTCTGTGGGGGTTTCTACTGGGTGCTCCAGTTTCCTCCCAGCAGGTTAGATGGATTGGCTGTAGTAAATTGTCCACCATGTGCAGGGATATATAGGCTAGGTGGATTAGCTATGATAAATGTAGGGTTATGGGGATAGGGTAGGGGTCTGGGCGGGATGTCTTTGGGAGGGTCAGTGCAGATTCGATGGGCTGAAAAGGCTCTTTCTGCACTGTAGGGATTCTACGGTTTGCAATCAATCAATCACTCAGATACTGAAGTAGGTCATGTTCTAATGCAGCAAGACTTGGACAATATTCAGGCTTAGGCTGACAAGTGGCATGTAATGTTTATACCACCCAAATACCAGGCAATGACCATTTCCAACAAAATAGAATCGAACCATTGCCACTTGAAATTTAATGGAATTACCATTGCTGAATCCCCCAAATCAGCATTCTAGCATTACCACTGACCAGAAATTGAGCATGCCATACAAGTACAATGATTGCAATAGCTGGTCAGAGGCTCTGAATCCTGCAGAGGCGGGGGGGAACTCACCTCCTGACTTTGTAATGCCTGTCCACCTTACACAAAAAGGTGCACATCAGAAATGTGACATATTACTCCAATCTGGCCTAGATGAGTGCAGTTCCAACACCACTCAGGAAGCCTGGGACCATCCAGGACAAAGCAGTCCACTTCCATAAACATAACTCTCTCCACCAAAGCACAGTGGCAGCAGAATGCACAGGCTACAAAATGCATTGCAACAACTCAGCATGGCTCTTTAGATTGCACCTACCACACCCACAACTATCTACAAGGACAAGTGCAGCAAATGCATGGCAACACCATCATCTGCCAGTTCCACTTCATGTCACTCACCATCCGGACTTGGAAACGTCTCAGTACCTTCAGTGTTGTTGGGTCAAAATCCTGGATCTCCCTCCCTCACAACATTGTCAGTCTACCAACAAATGGGCTGCAGAGGTTCAAGGCAGCTCACTACCACCTTCAAGGGCAACTTTGGATGGGCAATAAACTGTGACCCAGCAGTAACGTCTATATCCACAAATGGATAAATACATTTGCAAACCCCCTTTTTACCCCATTCTTTCTCCTTCCTGTCTAATAGGTCACCCACAAATGTGAGCTTTTGCTTTGCATATTAATCTTGTGTGGCACCCTAACAAACACCACACCTAAGTACAGCAATTCTCTCATCTTTCCTTATTCTGTGGCTACCTGCATCCTCAAAAACCTCTTAAAAAATGTAATCAGACACAATTGCTTTTGTGAAAAAAACAACTTTGTTGGCTTTGATCACAGATTTTGACGTGCATTGTTAATGCTGCCTTAATAATAGCTTCCTGCATTTTTCTGACAACTGATGTCAGGCTAATTGGTCTATAGTTGCCTCTTTTCTCTCTGGCTTGAATAGAAATGTTTAAATCTGCTAACTTCTCATCTGCTGGAATTCAATTCCAAAATCTAGGAAATTTTGGAAAATCATAACCAGAATTATAAAATTGCATATCACCATAGAATATTTAAAGCTTGCTAATGATATTAAGAAATTTCAACTTTTGTTTTCCTAAACTAATTCTTCCCTCCATTACTGGAATTTAAATACTTTAAACCTCCAGGGCTTGAACATTTAATTTACAAAATTTTGTGATTCCTGATCCAAACTCAATCTGATCATTGATATGCTACAATCTAAAAAAATTTCCAATTTCTTTTCCAAGTTACTGTTCAAGTTTCTTCCCTTCTTCAGAAGTGACATCCCACTTGACTGACCTTCAGCACCTTTCTCAGTCTGCCTGCACCTTTTACAAATCACCCTACTCCAATGCTCCTCCTTCAATTGATTTCGGTGGGAGGTGTCCTTCTCTGATTCCATTCATATCTAAAACAAAAAACAGCCAATATAGCTTCCCGACCTGCTTCTACACCTTTACCCCTGACTAGGGGACACATTAAGGTGAGAGAGAGATTTAAAAATACACAAGAAGTAATTTTCTTTTTAAACACAGTGGTTCACACGTGGAATGTGCTTCCTGATGAAGTGGTGGATGCAGGTACAATTACAATGCTTAAAAGACATTTGAATGGAATTACAAATAGGAAAGGGTTGGAGGAATAAGGGCCAGGAGCAGGCAAGTGGGACCAGTTTAGTTTGGGATAAAGTTCGGCATGGACTGGTTGGACCAAAGGGTCTGTTTCCATGCTGCATGACTGTGACTCTATCCTTGGTCACAGTTCTTATTTCTCATGACGTATTTTTAGATGTCACTGAGGAGCAGCAAGTTCTAAATGTACTCCAATGATAAACTACACCACTGCCTGCTTCAACCATTCCACTGTCCAAGATCGCAAACTGGATAAGCAGAAATATTGGGATTCCAATTATTTAACTTGCCTTAGCTACTGGCTGGGATGGAACAAGATAGTTCACAACATCCATTTCCTATCTGATCCAGAAAGAAGCTTCTGACTCCATATCCACTCCATTAATAAACCTGCCTACTTACACCTTTACATCAGCTATTTCAACCATGCTTCAGGCAAACTACTGTTGAAAACTTCAACCATGCCTTCGTTACCTCTACACTTGACTATTTCGAAGCTATCCTAGCTAACCTCTCATTTGTCACGATCCATAATCTTGAATTAATCTATTACTTTGTGGCTCATATCCTGCTCAATTACTAATTGCTGAATGCTCATGGTTGCTTCCTGTTTGGTGATGCCTCAATTTTAAAATTCCCATCTTGATTTGCAAGTGTAACAAAGTCCCAGCCAATATTTAACCACCTCCAAGCTAACAATGCCCTGAAGTGCCTTACTTGTCCCATTCTGGTCCTCTGGTTCATGCCTGATTTTAATCACTCCACACCGGTGGACCAGTTTTCAACTGCTATCTTGATTGTTAGTTCTGGAATGCTATCTCCACCCCATCATCATTAAACAGCCTTTTGGTCATTTGCTTTAATACTTCCTTTCGCAGCTAACTGCCAAATTTTGTTTGTTAATGTTTCCGCCGAGTACCTTGGAATGTTTTACTAATTTAAAGGCAAAACATTCATGCAAGTTGTCAGTTTCAATTTTGCAAGATGAACTCATTTACCACGCCTCTAATAGGAAAATCTCTGGTTTTGTGGATTTTTAAATTCCCCATTATGTCAGATCATGGATATTTTTACATACCTCTGTAGCAGATGGGACTTGAACAGGGTCCTCCTAGTCCAGAGGTAGAGACCATCACAAGAATGCTTTCAGCAGAGGTAATGGACCAGCAGCATTATCACTAGATTATTAATTCAGAGACCCATGTACTATTCTGGGCTCCCAGGTTTGATTCTTTCCATGGCAGATGGTGGAATTCAAATTCAAATTCAATTTTAAAAAAAAATCAAATCTGGAATTAACAGGCCAATGATGAATTCTGTCAATTATTGGAAAACCCATCTGGTTCATATTCATCTCCTCGAGGGAGACTACCTTTACATGTGACTCCAAACTCTCAATAAATGTGGTTGACTCTTAACTGTCTTCTGGGCAATTAGGTATGGGAAATAGATATTGGTCTTGCCAGCAATGCACACATCCAGTGAATGAATTTTTTTAAAAATTGCGTTGCTAAAATATGGCAAAGATATAATCAGAATGATTAGTTCCTGCCTCATTTAAGTAACTTGAATCATGTGTACACAACAGCAACTCAATTTATATACACATTCAAAGAAAGTTTACATTGAGAAAGTAACCAATTCAGCAAAGAACAAATTAGACTGTGGACATGAATTTCTGCAGAGGTTCTTTCACTCATCAACAGTAAGGTCAGCGTTAAGAACTATTGAAAAAGCTGTCGTAACAGTATTATGACAGATTATCCCACAGTAACACTAGTCACCGTTTTAGCTCATGTATGGCTGTGATATGGATGAGAAACTTATAGTTATTTTTATTACTCCCAAGGCAGCAATGCTTGGCTTCATTGCAATTCCTTCCTTCTCTGTAAAATTAGGATCTGTAATAAAAGAAATTCTGCGAAATTTACCACTTACGACTAATCATGCTTCATGTTTTCCTATAATTGTAATCCTGCATGAATAGTGAGACACGCAAGGTGAAAGAAATACTTAGAACAAAATTTTCACCTAGGCCCAGACAGAAGTATGGTTTGGTGCCTGACCACCTCCATCTGGTGTGCTGATCTGTGGGTACTATTCCATCCTGAGAGATGGTAGTAGTGATATTTTTGGGGATTAGGATTTAAATGACACACAAGCCTATCCTAACTCCCACATTTGGCCAATTTGGTGAATAAATCGCTGCTGGATGATGTGTTCCTGACCCTGCAGTCTATGAAACACTTTTGGCCCCAGTGTCGAAGTCTCAACCCAAAATTCCATCCAAGCCTCTGAACCTTAAATGAGGTCAGGACACACGGTAAAGTAATGCCTACTGGGTGCAGTAGAATAGTTATTAGCAGGTTTAAGTTAGTCCATTGAGAGATCTATCACAGATGCCTTTGGTTGCAAACATAACATCATTTGTTCATTATTCTTTAGTGAGTAGATCTTAGTGTCACCCTTGCTTCTACACAACCTCAGCTTTCAAATCCCAAACAACAAACAGTGAGTATTAACTGGATCTAAATCTCAGTGAACTGAAGGAAATGCACCAGCTGTTCATCTCCCTCTTCCGTTGGAATTAGTAAGAATACAGTGTCAACAAAGTAATCATCTCAACAAACATATTAAAGCTCAGCAAATATACTGTTAGTTCCAGTTTTAGGAGATGACTCCACTGTTCTCATTAAACCTATTAACTAAATCAATAGCAATGACAGGAAAGGGAAATTGTAAAAAGAAAATTACCTATAAGGTTGGTATGTGTTATTTCCCCCTATCAACAGTCTGTAGGTTTCCTCTGGAGATTTTTTTAAGTAAATTACCTGGTGGAAACAAAAGTTGAGCACGTGAGGTTTTAGGAATCTTATTGCAGCACTTAATGATAAGTTTTAATTATGATATTCTGCTGTAGTTTTGGCTTGAACACACATTGTCCAAACACTAACTATCCTAGCAAGCAAAACAGATCTTTGTAACTTCAGAATAAAATTGATCAAAATGAGCACTCCTTTTAAAATTCTCAGGTGAATTAAATCTTTGGGATAACTCATGTATATCGAATGTTACAACATAAGCAATCATTGTGCAGTTCCAAGTTGTGCAATGTTGTATATGTTTACCTAATGAATTAGAAATAATTTGTTGAAGATCGCAGAGAAAAACTCTTTGCAGTCTACTCTACAAGGATTAAAATAAATAAAACCAGGCTTGGAGTTACATCACAACACACAGTCAATCATGTTGTACTCTCCATCCATTCATTCTAGAGTTAATACATTTTAAAAATCCAACATAGCCTTCTTCACTGGGGCATATGTGCTTTTGTCAGATTCCATTTCCTTAAGCAGTGTTGCTTACTCTGCCAGACATGCTCTCGACTGTTTCTGGAGACGGAGGCCAAAGGTTTTGAGATTTTAACAGTAGAGTGAATTAACAAAATAGAGATTTAAACAAGCATAAAAATATTCCAAAGCAGAAAGTGTACCAGACTCCAGTTTCTCCAGACTACAGCTTAGACCAATATCTTTTCAAGTTATGAACAGGAAGTCAGTGTTAAATTCAAAAAAAAAGTTTGCAGGTAAATTAAGTCTTGTAGAAACGCAAAATGAAAATGGAACAAAAACTGAAGAACTCAGCAGGTCTGACAGAGTTGACATTGAGTCCTTCAGTGAAGAAAAGTCACTGGATTCGAAACATCAACTCCATTATCTCTCTATAGATGCTGCCAGACCTGCTGCATTTTTCTGCCCATTTCCGTTTATGTTTCATAGAGCTGTACAGCATGGAAACAGACCCTTCGGTCCAACTTGTCCATGCCGACTAATATCCTAATTTAATCTGGTCCCAGTCATCAGCATTTGGCCCATAATCCCTCTAAACCCTTCCTATTCACCATCCATCCAGATGCCTTTTAAATGTTGTAATTGTAGCAGCTTCACCACTTCCTCTGGCAGCTCATTCCATACACGCACCACCCTGTGTGGAAAATGTCACCCCTTAGATCCATAATGAGTGCTTAATTCTGCCAAATGGAACTCAAAACAAAAGTGATAATGTCTGTCTTGTGTGGGCTTTCTCTTAAAATGAAATGGCTCCAATCACCAATGCAAAATACAGAAGTTATCTACCAATAAAGTATAACAAAATATTTCTCTATGTACTCTATAAATTCAAAGAAAGACAGACTTGCATTTATACAGCGGCTTTCATGATGACTAACTGTCTCAAAACACGTCAGAGCAAATGAAGAATTTCTGAAGTCTAGTCCCTGCTGTTTTTAGGCAACACAGCATCCAACATTTGCACAAGCTCCCACAAACAGTAATCCGATTTAAAACAAAACCGACTATTAGAGGATATTTTGTTGATTGAGGAAAATAAATTAGCCAGGATGCCAGGAAAACACGCCATTCTTCTTGAATGGCTGTTTCAGATTTTTTTAAGCAGTTATGACAGTAGCCTCAGATGTTCAATGCCAGATCTAATACTTCCTTTACTGACAGAGTTATCAAGATTCTGATTTATCAAAGACTGGGCAAATACTGTAATGAAGGAGAACTGGTGAATCCTACAATAAAACAAAGAACTGCAGATGCTGAAGATCTGAAACAAAAACAGAAATTGTTGGAGAAACCTAGCAGGTCCAGCAGCACCTATGGAAAGAAAGCACAGTTAATGTTTCGGAGTCCAGTGACCCTTCAGAACAGAAGCAATTTCTGTTTCTGATCAGCTCTACAGTTGCTATAAGCACAACTTCCCACACAAGTATTTCAGAGTCGCTGTACAACCCAACAAAATCATATGAATCAAGTGTTTGTGGTAGCAAGACCAACCTGAGAGTAATTTGTGGTGTCTGTACTCTTATCAATCGGTACAGGGGCTTCCTCCCAGTGACCATGTTTGAATAAAAACAAATGTATACCCAGTTAAATTCCACTTGGAATCTCTAGATTCCATACTTAGAATTTTTTGATCTGCTGTTAACTTTGTTGAATGTTATGTTGTTACATTCTAATTAAATTTTATTTTCTTTTCTCTTTGGGTAGATGTTAGAATAATCAGTTCTTGACAGCTTGCCATTATTGGTAGGATATACTCATAGCAAAAAAAAAAAAACTTGTCAACCATCATTACTTATTTTCTCCTTCAAAACACGCTCTACCATGTTTTAAAAATTTTTATCACGAATGTGTTGTCAGTTTAGACAGGACAATGTAACTCATCAAAAGTACACTCAAAGATTTTCAAGAAATAAAAACAGGAAGTGCTGGGAGTGCGTAGATCTGGCAGCATCTCTGGAGAGAGGAGTTCAACTCAACATTTACACATGATTCTTGTTCAGCATTTTCTACTTTTATATTAAAAACTGGGTGCTTGTAATGAGTATTTGACTTATAAAAGGTTTAAAATACTGAATCCTGAACAACATGCTTCAATCTTAAAGCCAAACAATGTTTAATTGTATTACCTTTTAAATTTACATTTGAGACAACAATGTAGCGGTGATACCGGATACCTATTTATAAGGGAACCACACTGACTTGACGAATAAAGTAGAAGAGTTCGGTTGGGGACACAGAACTGTAGATAATGCAGTTCCCATTCAAGAAAGACTGGATTTTTGATGCTCCTCCCGCTCGAGGCAGTGCGGGTAAGCAAGTTAAATGCCTGCCTGCCAGCTACCCACCCACCATGCTCCAGCACAATTTTACCAGCAAAAACAGAAATTGCTGGAAAAGCTCAACAGCATGTCTGGCAGCAAGTGGACAGAAATCAGAGTTAACATTTCGGGTCCAATGACATTTCCTCAGAACAATTTTACTAGCAGCTGGGATGGCATTGGACCATTGATTTTAAGTTAAGGGCCACCAAGACCAATACCAACACTCTCTTCACAGCCTCTACAGCGCTGTGTCCCCTGCTGTGGTCAGCCTTTGTTGATCACCAAATACTTACCAAGTTCCAGTCCATGACTGGATGCCTCATTAAAGGCTCAAAAAAGTAGTATTGGCTGTGATGCTGCTAATACTCGAGATCTGCCAGTAAATGATTTGATAACACCTGAGGTAGGACTTCCTGTTGTTGAGAAGCAGAAATCCTACCTCCAGCCTACTAATGGCTAATGGCTGTTCAATGATGAAAATTGATCTTCCAGATTTGTAGCTCGGGTTGTGGATGAGGTTGTAGACTTTCTCACTGAGCCAGTGTGTTTGACTGCAGATGTTTTGTCACTCTGCTAGGTAACATCATTAGTGCACCTCTGAAGCATTGGTGTCCTGTCCTGCTTGTTATTTATATGCCTTGGTTTGCTGGGGTGGTTGGCATCACTTCTGATTCTGTTTTCAGTGGTTTGTATGTTGGGTCCAGTTCAACGTGTTTGTTGATTAGAGTTCTGGTTAGAATACCAGGCCTCCAGGAATTCCCTGGCTTGTCTGTTTGGCTCGTGCTATTATGGATGTGTTGTCCCAGTTGAATTCGTGTCCTTCTTTGTCCTTGTGTATTGAGACCAGTGAGAATTGGTCGTGTCTCTAGGTGGCTGGTTTGTGTTCGTGTATCCGTATTGTCAGTTTTCTTCCAGTTTGGCCTACGCAATGCTTCTCAGTGCTTGCATGGTATTTTGTATATTATGTTACTTTTATTGGTTGTGGGTAATGGGATCCATTACATTTGTCAGTAACGGTCACAGGATGGTTGTTGGTTTGTGGGCTACCCCAATACCTAGGAGTCTGAGTCGTCTTGTGGTCATCTGATATGTCTCTGATGTACGGTAGGGTGCCTACCGTGTCATGTCTTCTTGCTATGATCTATTGTGACAGTCACCCTACCGTACATCAGAGGCATTTCAGAGATGACCACAGACTACTCAGACCCCTAGGTATCAGAGTGGCCTACAAACTACAACCACCTTGCGATAGCTACTGACAAATGTCATGGATCTGATACCCACAACCAAAAAACTAACATAATATACAAAATACCATGCAAGGACTGTGAGAAACATTACGTAGGCCAAACTGGAAGAAAAGTGGCAATAAGGATACACGAACACCAATTCTCACTGCTTTCAATACACATGGACAAAGGTGGACACTAATTCGACTGGGACAACACATCCATAATAGCACAAGCTGAACAGAGACATGGCAGGAAATTCCTGGAGGCCTGATGGCGCGATGACCTCCGGTCAGCAATACAATATCGTCACACCAGCTGCAGATAGTTTGGAAGGCAAGTGAATGCTTAAACAGAACCCTGCCAGTCGTTTTGAAACAATCATGCCAATTATTTGTATTTTTCAGTTTCTGCTGCACTATTTAAGTGTAGAGTAAAATGTTTAGAAGTGCTTTATATCAGGTATAACAAGGTGGCACAAGAGAAGAAAAAAAAAAATCTGCTACGGTCCATGGCTATATGTAGTAATAGATTCTACCAGTGGAAGTGGCAATGTCAGTATGTTTCTGGACTTCTTCTATAAATATATTTGAGCCTGCCATTTAAAAAGAAGATTCAGCAAGTCTTTAAACGTGGATCTGGGAAAACTTACTGATCTTCGTATCATCCCTCTGATACATAACATCCTGAATGAGACTGCCAATTGACTGTAAAACCACTCTTTACATTGTCTGGTGGCAAGGTGACCACTGGCAGTTACTAATTGAATATCCATTGCTGATTTGCCAAGCTGAGGTGGTAGGGGCAGAAATGGGCAGACTATACACTTTCCATACGCTTCCTTCACCCTGTCAAAAGACAAAACACACAGCCCTCCGCTTTCTAGTTTTTACACAGAGGGAATGCATCAACTCTGCTGACCATTCCATCA